CCTCTGTGCAGCCCTGCAGCCCGACATTCCCCCTCTCTCCCAAATCTCCACAGGAGCATGGGAATTGCCCCCTCCCCAGCCCCTGCTCTCCCCTTACTTTTCCATGTCCACCATTGGACTGAACCATTCCAGACTCCTGCCAGTCTGAGGATGGACCGGGCGAGACAAACCCAGCTCAGTTGCGTTGCTGGCCGGGCAGGACACGGACCCCTCGACCAGTGAGACGTGGCAGTGGGAGGGGACGGCAGAGATTGCCTTGGGGGATGGGCCCAGCTGACACCCGCTGTGGAACGGTAACGCTGTCAGGGCAAGGGCACAGCCGGTCTCCTAGCACCTCGCAGGACTCGGCGTTGCCCAAGTGCCGCAGCTAATGCCCCTCTGCCTCGGGGAGCCCCTCTGGCTCAGGGCCCAGGGTGCAGGTGGAGGACTGACAGTGCACAGAGAGCTAAAGTGGGTTGGCCACAGGCACACCGGGGGTCTGTGGCAGAACCAGGAATAGACCCGCATCACCTGGGAGCAAGCCCAGGGCCTTAACCACAAGCCGTCCTCCCATCCCTGGGCACTCTGTGCAGCCTGCCAGCCAGAGGGCCCGGTTGACACCAGTGGTCCATAGGCAGGTTCTGATGGGGACATTGGTCCGCTCAAAATTGGCCTGAGACCCAGCTCAGCTCACAGGGCACAGGAGGGAGGCCCCCTAGTGACCTGACTCAGGTGTGAGGGTATAAGTTCTTTGGGGTGAGGAGTGGAGGTGAGGCGGGGGGCAGGAGCTGGGGGGAAAGGGGACAGAGTTGAGACCCAGGGACGGGGGGGGGGCAGATAGCAGCTGTGGGGGGGGGGGCGAGCGACAGAGAGCGGAGGAGGGTGAGAGTGAATAGAAGCAGATGGGGGACAGGATCTGGGGGCGGATAGGAGCCCGTGGGCACACGGAAAGTCTCCAGGGGCAAGAGTAGGTCAGGGGAAAGGGGACAGGGGCAGAAGGGTCTTTAACTACTAGGCCCCACTCCCCTCCAGAACCTGGAATGGAACCCAGCATTCCTGAGGCCCCCCCTTCCCCTGTGGTCAGCCTCTCTGTGTGAAACCCACGGTCAAAGTGTGGGTCTTGTTCCCCTCCAGTGGCTGGTGCACCTGGCAAATAGCAGCCTACCGCTGCTGCCGGTTCCTCTGGTAGCTCAAGTGGCGTGGCTGTAAAGGTGCTGGTGACCCATGGGTGGGGGGTGCAGTCGGGTTCCACAGGATGGAATTTCGGCTGTGTGACAAACATAGGACATTGCACAAAAACGTCTGTGTGAAAAATGTTAAGGTTGCAAAGTCATGCAGTGTGCAGATAGGAAATGCCAGAATTGATGCTGGCCGTGCAACCTGAAGGCAGGCCTCTTGCATATATGCATTGTGAAACAGACTTTAATTACACGTTCCCAGCCTATACTGTCGACAGGACCCTGCCTCATTCAGTGCACACTGCATGAAATTTACCCTTCTGAAACAAGCAACCCCATCACCTTCTTCTGTGCAAGCCTTCCGCCTTCCCTCGCCTGCCCCGTTCGTCCCTTTCCTCTGCGGAGTGGCTAAGTGATGCTGTGCCTATGCTCGGGATTTGGGGCCAAAGTTCCCCACTGTTGCTAAGACTGATGCAGCTCCCTCATTGGCAGCAATGCTGGCTGCACTGGTGTAGACAGATGGCTGAGTGGCCACTGGCATTTTAGGCCTGTTATCTGCAGTGTTAGATAACAGGATGGTTTGAGTTGTGACAGAAGCCTTGTCTACACGCGAGTCCAATCATAGCTATCACCAACGGAGCCGTGTTGACTAAAGTGGGAAATTGTGGCCAAAAACCCCTGGTCTGGACACAGCCCTGTAAGTTCCTGACTGCGGAGAGTTTGTCCTTAGTCTCTCTGGCAGGTCCCACGTGTACCTATGAGGCTAGATGGTAGGTATTATTGTTGTTAATTACTGGGAACACATGCATCATGGGAAGCAGGGGATGTTGCTGGCTGGCTGTGATCACCTTGCCCTATTTCCAAGTTCCCAGGCTAAGCAGGGCTTGTTATCAATAGCAGAAAACCGTGCCCTCTCTGTTTGATTTCATTTCCTTTCTCCCCGCCCCTCCCTGCTCCAGTGCTCCTCTGAGATAACTGAAACCAGAGCGAAGGGTGGGCCATGGACCAGCCAGCATTATCGCTCTCTTCCTCACGGCAAGGAAATCAGGAAGTTTGCAGAGATACCCTGCCAATAAAATAAACACTGCTCCTGCCAGCAGCTGAACGGTGTATCACCCCTGACAGCTGCCAGAGCTCCCCTTGGATCGCCCTTCCGGTCAATAATGTGTGCAAATGAGCAGCCACCCAGCAATGAACCGAGCTCCAGAGCTTACTGCATGGAGACCCTGTGTTTATGGCACCGCCCACCGCTGGTAGGGAAAGAATTCTCCATGCCGCAGGGCAATGGCGGGGTGACCGGGAGAGACTGACCATGTGTTGTTATTAGAGAGCTGAGCTCTGCATCCTCCATCTTCAGCAACACTCAGATCCAGACCCTGATATCTCAGCCCCCTATAAACAATTGAAGGTCCTTCTATAGCTCCCATTGCTGGAGTACCCATCACGCTTTCCTCACAACGCCCCGGGCGGCAGGGCAGGTCTGGTTGTACAGATGGGGAACTGACGCTGAGGGATTTGCCCAAAGTCACACATGGAACGTACGGCAGAGCACAGAATCCAAGCCAGGTCTCCTGAGCCCCAGACCAGCACCTAACCACGGGGCCAGACTTCATCTTTACAAGGAGATGGGAACTCTCCTCCGCACATTCAGATCCTTCTTGAACCCCACCTCTGCTGCGGAGCTGGCAAGAACCTGAGTCAGCTTCAGTTATGCCAGGCTGGGGCACTACAGGAAACCCTCCAGTAGGACAGACGGACAGATTAGATAGATGATGACAAACACCAGGCAGGAGGGCAGCTGTTATGCAATAAACCCATAAAAATGGCACTACCAAAATGTGTGCCAGCTGTCACCCAGACCACTCAGATACCATGGTGATGGGCAGATTCTAAGAACCTGAACAGACGCTGCTCAGAGGTTACAGTCGCTTCCTCTGTTCTTTGTTTGCCAAATGTAAGTGTCCCAAGGCTGGGACCGAGTCTGCGAGGCAATTAGAAAGTGCCTCGCATTGCACATGGTGGGAAATCCCACGGTATAAATGATAATCATTTCCGCTGGAGAGATCCTGCCATCACCCCACATTTAACATCTGGGAAGAGATCCTCCCAAGAAAGGGCTCAGGATGGGACACTCCCCTTCCCCACCTTTACTCTAGCATCGCCATCAGGATGCATTATCCATTCATCCTCTGCCTTTCCCTACTGGGCCATGGTCTCCCCTTGGCCCCTGGGCAGAGCTCCCACTGAAATCAAAGAGCAAAGAAACAGCAAAGTCCCATGGCAGGATATGATCCATAGCGGGCATGGCACTCATTGTGGGAAACCAGAGCCTGTGATTCTCTGAGCAGAAGCAGTGGCCCTAACTGAATCCCAGTCGGCAAAGGGTTAACTCCTGGCCCCTGTTAATCCCAGCAGGCAAAGGGTTTACTTCTGACCCTTTTTAATCTCAGTAAGCAAAGGGTTAACTCCTGGCCCCTGTTAATCCCAGCAAGCAAAGGGTTAATCCCTGGGCCCTGTTAATCCCAGAAGGCAAAGGGTTAATCCCTGGCTGCTGTTAATCCCAGCAAACAAAGGGTTAATCCCTGGGCCCTGTTAATCCCAGCAGGCAAAAGGTTAACTCCTGGCCCCTGTTAATCCCAGAAGGCAAAGGGTTTACTCCTGGCCCCTGTTAATCCCAGCAAACAAAGAGTTAACCCTGACCCCTGTCTCCCACAGCTGCACTGGGCGGAGTAAGGAGATGGAATTGGGGCCTGCTAGCCCAGGCAGGCTCTCCGAGGAAACTCGGGGAACTCCCTAAAACAGCTAGTTCCCCAGGGCCGGCATCCTCTGAATTCCTGGGGAGCTGTAGTGTTTATGGGCCACTGGCTGAGGGCTTTAAACTAGAGAGAGCATCAGCTGGGAGGGCACCTGTGGGTGTTCTTGTGTGTGTGAGTTATGGTTGCCCCAAATGCCCACAGCTGCGCTATTATTCACTCTCCACTCTGCTGAGAGGACTAAGGGCAAAGGTAAGGCTTTCTCCCCCTTACCCAGTATGGGGGTGTGATGGGTGACCAGGTGTAGTGGCGAAGTTTTGCTCTCTGCATTGATATCCACCTGGAGTGGTCCTGGGTATGATGGAGGCTTTCTGGTGAGTCAATAAGACCTGCTATAAGCCTCTCCCAGCTGGAAGGGGGAGATCTCTTTCTCTGGCTCTCCCATGTTGCTTGTCAAAGAAACCCTGGTGCTGGGGCTGACTTGGGTCAGACATGCCTGTGCTGTACAGTCTGCTCTCAAGGGCAGTATTGCTCCCCTGATAGCCAGGTGAATCTCTGCTACACGCAGCTGGTTTCAGGTGCAGCTGCTGGACCTTCACGCTGTGTCTGCAGCATGATTTCTTCACGGCAATTTCCCTTCCGCACTCCCCTGGTAAGAACGAGGGGAGGGGAGCTCTAGTGGAGGCCGGCTGCCAGCCCTCTGAGTCCCGTGTTTCTTAACCCTGTTCGGAGCCAGGGTTAAGATGATGATGTAGTGGTTACATGTCCCTGGACAGTCAAGCTACAGCTTCTTGCCTTTGCCAGGGCTGTGGTGGGCTTGTACTGCTGGGGGACCTTAACAAGAGAAGGCTGGTGGAGACAGGGTCTCCGGCTGCTCCTATTTACCTTGTAAATCAGCTCAGCTGCTGGATTATTTCTGCCTGAAAAACAGACCCTGTTGCTGGGCTGCTCTGAATGCCAGGGCAAAAGCTGGAGAGTCCACGCTTTAAAGGGGAACCAGCCAAACTGCCTCTAAGACAGCCGATGTCCAAATCCCCGAAACAGCATCAGCAGGTCTGGTTAACTTCCCCTTTTGTTCCTCCTCTTATAGGAGTGCCACTGTATATGGGTTGCTGGTGCCTATGACTGCGGCTGGGAAAATCCATCTGCTGCTGGGGAAAGAGTAAGTCCAGTTTGTATGCGATCCCAGTTGGGTTTTTAAGTTTTTGGTTGATCAACTTTATGGGTCTCAGAGAAGAATATTGAAAAGAAAGCAGAGACCCAGTATCCTTAGGCCAGTAAATAAAACCCACAGATGCTCATGATTCCAAAAGTGACTTACTAAGAACAGCAAAAAGAAAAGGAGGACTTGTGGCACCTTAGAGACTAATAAATTTATTTGAGCATCAGCTTTCGTGAGCTACAGCTCACTCCTGCCAGCTCTGCTCTTAGGAGAGGTGAGGTGAGAACACAGGACTGGGAGCCAGGGGTCTCCTGAGTTCTCATCCTGCCTTTGACACAGACACTCTCTGTGGCCCTGGCTAAGTCACTGCGCCTCTCTGGAACCTGGGGCTGATGGTGCCTGCCTCGCTCCCAGAGGGCTGCGAGAATGAGCTAGGAAATGTTTTCTAGCCCTCTGAGGATGGAAAGTGTTCTAAACAATGAAATGTTCTTGCTGCCCTCCATGCGCACGCCCAGCTCCTGCCCATGCTAGTTGGGGGGGCAGGCCATAGGGTGCACAGCCCTGCTTCTGGGATGGCATCCTCAGAGAAAGGGTCAAGATATTTCCAGCAGCAGCAGCTCGTAGGTACGAACCGTGTGATCTGCTGAGGTCTTGCCGCTGGGCATCACTCCAGCTTGGATTCTCTGACGCACTGCCGTTTTACTGGGACGGAACCGCTCTGCCCATGTTACCTGGTGTGGTTCTGTGCAGGGCTGTACAGTGATGTGGGAAGCCTCATGGGGTGTGTCCCCACGTGCCTCAGGACCTAATTCTGAGAGGTGCTGAGCCCCACCTGACTGTGGGAGCAGGCCTTTGGGCAGCACTGGGGTGGAGGCTGGGAGCTGTGTCTCCGGAATACTCTCTGTGTGTGTCAGGGATCCCCTGGCTTCTAGGCAGCCTGGTTCCTCGTGTGTATTCACCTTTAAAATCGTGCTGCCAGGTGCTGGTGCAGACACACAGCACCAGGGACAGGCCCCCAATTCAAATGCACAGTTACCGGCTGGGGAATAACAGGCAAGGCAGCAGAGCTGCTGAAAAGGATTTGGGGGTGAGAGTGGGTCACACGTGGACTATAAGTCAAAACCATGATGCTGTTGCAACAAAGGCTACTATCGTTCTGGGGTGTATTACCAGGCATGTTGTATGTAAGACATGGGAGGTGATGGTCCCGCTCTACTCGGCACTGGGGAGGCCTCAGCTGGAGTCCTGTGTCCAGTTCTGGGCGCCCCACTTGAGCAAAGATGTGGACAAATGGGAGAGAGTCCAGAAGAGAAATGAGAAAAGGTTTAACCATTCCTCCTAGCTCAGGTTTTCTAAAAAACCCTGGGTATGTTTAGTTCTGAGGAAAGACTGAGCAGGGACCTGATGACAGTCCTCAAATCGGTGAAGGGCTGCTCTAAAGAGGACGGGGTCAACTGTTCTCCATGGCCACTGAAGGCAGGAGACGTGATGGGCTAATCTGCCGCATGGGAGACTGAGGTGAGATATTAGAAAAAGCTTCTTAACGCCCAGGGGAGTGAAACCCTGGAACAGGGAGGGTGAGGGAGGCTGTGGAATCCCTGTCCTTGGAGGATTGTAAGAACAGGTGGGACAAACCCCTGTCAAGAACAGTCTGGGTTTACTTGGCCCTGCCTCAGTGCACACCACTGGACTAGATGAGTTCTTGTGGTCCTTCCAGCCCGACAGTTCCATGATTCTAACCCTCTGGAATCACTTGGGATGGGCCCAGCAGCTCCTACACTTACATGTGCACTGGGTTAGTGGGCTGGACCTCATGAAGCCCTGCACCCTTCCTCCCTTTGCTTGCGGGGACAGCAGGGCCTTTCTATGGGCTCCCCCCAGCATCCTCGAAAGCTCTGCAGGGCGGAGACCCTCCTGCTGGCTGGGAGTGGTAGGAGCATTGCCCTCCAGAGCCCAACCACGTGGCCCCACTGACCCCACTTGCTTGCCACTCAGGCCTCGGATCCCCGCACGACCATGCGGTGCTATCCCCATGCTGGGCTGCCCTGTTTCCTTCCCATCTCCACTGCCTCCCCTAGCAGAACATTATCAACTCTGTAGCAACCCTAGGAATGAGGGTGTCTGGGGAAAATGCATTACGGAGACTAGATGGATCCACAAGGGAACGGCTTTAACTCCAGCTCCTGCAGCCCCTCTGAGCTGTATCCCTGACGTGGAGCAGTAATTGACAGCTCATTAGGAGCACTGATAGCCGCAATGATACCCACACACCTCAGGGACTGGTGCAGGCGGGGCCAGATCTTGATTTCCATTACGCCAGGGTGACTTTGGTGGAGCCAGCGAGACTCTCTGGGGTAAGTGAGCTCAGAATCTGGCCCAGAATGGCTGCCGGGGAATTAGAGTGGAAAAATAAAACAAGATTCAGGATTACACATGAGCAAGTGACCTGATAATTAAAGAAAGCACCGAGTAAATTCAGGATTTAAAACCTGTAAATAAAACATGAACGAGCCTGATTAGTCATTATGGAAATGTTAATTGCAAAGCAGACACTGCCAACTCAGGATGCACCTTCCTCCAGCTCTGTAGCAAAATCCCTCCATTGTCCTGTGTTGCTCACAGATTGGAGACCAGAAATGCAGTCAAACATCTCTCTGCTCCCAACCTGGCTGCCTCCTCCTAATACTCTGGGACAGGTGACAGTCCTGCTGCTGTATGAACCAGTCTGGCAGCTCCCCGGGGCTCTGCTCCCCCGGTCTATCTGGTTTGTTTGTCCGAGGTGCCATTGGCTTTGCCTAGTCACCAAGTCAAGCTGACATTAAGCTCCCGCCTTTGGAAAACAAGTGCATCTCCCACCTGCTGTGGGGCCCTTGCACCGAATCTGTCTGTGTTTGCCACCCAGTAAGTGCAAGGGCTTGTTTGTGCCCAGGGCTTTCCCTGCGATGAACACCTGTCTGGCTAGTTACGGGCTGCTCTACTGCACTGAAATCCTGTTTGATATATGGGATGAGTCAACATCTCAGCCCTCATTGCGCGTGTAAACAAAGCGGACAGGCTGGCAGCTGTAACTGCTACCACCTGCCTGTCCAGGATTGGCTTGTTTCACCTCCCATCCAGAGACCTTGTGTCCTTACCTTGGCCAGTTCTCCTGGAGCCGCTTCCCCAGGCGCCATGGCAAGTGGAGGCTGAAGGTCGGTTTTCCAGCTTGGAAGAGCCTCCAGCCATTAAAGCCCAGCCGGTTGCTTGCAGTGCCAGCTGAACTGTGTGGTGGTGGGCTCCAGAAATGCCCTCTGCAGTGCCAGGCCCTCTGCTGCCAGCACTGCTGGAGAGGATCCTTCCAAAGCTCTACCTGAGCTCTCTGATGAAGGCTAGCTGCGTCAAGGGGCTATGGAGGGTGAATGTCTCTCTCGCATGCTCTCAGCCACTTTGCAGGGGAGAGGAAATCCCCACAAGAAATCCACACAAGAGGAGAGGCAGGCTGGAGAGCTCCGGCCTCTCCTGCTGGTTGCTTAACAGAAAATGCCGGCTGGCGGCTGCTGGTTACCTGTCCCTAGGGCACCTGCCCTGAGTCTCTCTGACTTACTGCTGTCCAGCCCGCTCTGGAGCGTGCCTTGCAAGGGGCGCTGGGTGCTCATGTGACAGCCAGGGTTGATGTGGAGGGGGAGTTGTGTCCCATGGTGAGAGGGGAAGGCAAACAGCTGCCTGCTGGTGATAATGCAGCAGGGGAGGAGGACTGGGCAGCTGAACCCTTGTTCTTCCCCCAACAGGAACCATCTGTGACCAAGCCCAGCTCTGTCTTCCCTGTCACCCATTCCGGTCTGACTTTCCAACAACTTCCCCTTCGCGCTGGCTTCACTTCCCCACTCCGCGAGCAGGGCCAGCGCAGTAGCAGCCGCAGCAGCGGCCAGGCTGGTGTGACGAGTTCTCCTTTTCCCATGCGGGGTGGGGTCAGGGACTGCAGGCGGGAGTAGGAACTCGGTGCTGGGCCTGTCGGTTCTACGTACAGCGGGCTGGGCAGGTGGGTGTCTGCGGCTGTTCTCGTCTTGAACTCGTAGGAGGGACTTCCAGAGGGCCCGAGAACTGACCTGATCAGACCTGGCCTGGCGCCATGGCCTGGCACCATGCCCTGGGCCTGCTGGCACACCTCTAACACGCCTCAGTCGTGCACCCTCTGGACTGCAGCCCTCACGCAGCTACAGGTCTCCGCTACACCTCGCCCATCTCTCAGCTGGAGAACTGGGAAAAAATCCCCCAGAAGTCTTTGCAATCTGGAGCCCCCTGACTTTCTTAAGTGGTCCTGGCTTCTCCCATCTCTAGTGTGTCTTGGCTCCTGCCTTCTCCACCATCCTGGGCTTCTGTTTGCCCTGACGCTGCTGACCCGCGGGGTGCAAGCCCTGGGGAAAGGAAAGGACTTGTTAGAGAGAGAGCCGAAAGGCTGTACAGGCGGCTGCAGGTGGGAGGGAGGAAATCTGTCCTAAAAATATAGCCGTGACTGCTCGCTCCCCGAAGATGGCTCAGCAGATGGTGTGTCTCTGCCTGCCACCTGTGAAGCGTGTGCTCCCGCAGATGGTGTATATGGTGCTTCCACTTTCACCCTGATGCCCTGGGCTTCCTGGCCCAGCCCTGCCTTTTGCTTTCAACAGCATCTCCAATATGGCTGCGAGTGAGAGGCTGGGAAAGACCACAGCAATGCGATGGGAAAAGCCAAGCCCGCCGTCCTCCAAGCAGCTTTGGGCAGCTGGAGCCTGGGACCTGGGGCCTGAGCAGGGGTGCGCGGAGTGTGGCCGCTGGGGAAATCGTAGGGACTTCCCAGTGATAGATTGTGGGAGGGAGCCTTGCAAAGGCCTGGGGTTTACAATGGGCTAGTTCCGATCTGCATCCTGGCACTCTTCCCAATGGTGCAGCCAGGGACGATGAGGGGGGCGATGCCCTACTCCCTGTTCATGCCTTCAGTCAGTATCCCCAAGGGGACAGGGAATTCTTCTCCCCTCTCCCCCCCCCTCCCCAACGCCCTGTCAGAAGGGGAAGGGGTGTTCCCATCGTGGGGCTGGGTGTTACCAAACGTGAGCATGGGCGGGAATGTCAGGGTCACTGCAAGGCCCGTCTACACTGCAGCGGTGCAGATCCAGTGGTGCAGCGAGGCTGCTGTCCAGCGCAGTGTAGACCCTTCCTAGGGGTGGCAGCTTGGTCAGCAGAAGCAATCTTCCATCAGCCTGGCTGTGTCTGTCTGGGGAATGGGTCACCCAAGTATGGCTCAGGGCGCAGATTGCTGGGTTCATCGAATCTGTAGGGTCGTCTAGGGCTAGCTTTTCTGGCTGGGCCGCGAATCGGGTGCCTGCAGCTCCCCTTCTGGTCCCCTTTGCCTTCCCTGAGAGCCCGGTACAAGCTTCATTCTAGTTGTGAACTCTAAGGGGGTGAGAGCTGCTAGCAGGCAGGGTGGGGCCAGCGGCTGGTTACGCTGTGGGAGGGGAGGGGAAACCCCTGGGAGGGGAGCCAAGAGCCAGAGAAAAGGGTCTGACGGTTGAAAAACCACTAAACAAAGCAGATGGGTAATAAAGTACAGGGGCTGCTCCTCTGTGGGGGCGAAAGCCCCGGCAAAGCCCTTTGGTCCCATCCACAGGATCTCCGTGTTCCCCAGCACTGCTGTCCCCTGGCCAAGCAGCAGTGTGCCAGGCCACTCATGCCCCAGGTACAAGGTATGAAGTGTGCAGAGCCCAGCAAGTCTCTCTAAACTGTCGCACTTCTGGAGGATCCAGGAGTTCGACCCTTTTTCCCCCTCCATCCCCCCAATGCCTCATTTGGCTGCTGGGTGGGAAATGCTGGGTAAGCTTGACGGTGCCATTCGGTGGTTCAATCTTGGGCTATCTTTTGCTAATTTTTGAGTCCTGGAATCTGCATTTATTGAGGGCTGATGCACTGGACCCAGGTGCTTTTGTGAGGGGTCCTTTCCCGCCCCCCCTACCCCAAGCCATCCAAAGACACCCCTGATAGCTCGTCCAGGAATGGAAGTGGGGTGGCCCGCAGAACAAATCCCCCTCCAGGGAAGACCTTGCCCCTTCACAGCCACACCCATAGCAGAGAAGAGCTGCTCTCTTGGGGCTCTGACATCACCTATGGCTGCTGGGCAAACAGGTGCCAGCTGGACCCAGCTCCTAATGAGGAGGTTAGAGGGATGTTCATCTTACAAAGCTGCTGCCTCCAGACCAGGAGGGCTCTGGTTTGAGTGAGCATTGGCAGGGCATAGACACGGTCCCGTCTGCTCACTGACCATAGGTCCCCATGTCCCTGGGCTGAGAAGGCTGGAGTGTCTGGCTGGGGCAGCCAGTGTGGACGGCCTGGTGAGAGACCGACACGGGTCCCGCCCTGCAAGGTGCAGGGTGGCTTTGTTACTGTTTAGTTAGGGCTCAGTTGTGCTGGGTGCTCTGTGAACACGGAGGGAGACACCGCCCTGGCCCGGTCGACCTCGTGGGCTAAGCAAACCCCTGCCGGGTCAGCCCTGTGTTTGGTGACTGTCTGTGCAGGTAGCCGGGTTCTTGCAGGCTTGTGGCCTTGCATCAGGCTGAGACCGTGGCAACCGTGCTCCGAGTGGGGAGCCTTTAAGTCCAATGCTTCATGCTGACAAAAGGAGGCTCGTAATGTAGCCAGCTGTGCTGTCTCATCTCTTCCCCCTTTTATTTTTAGCTTGGGCAGCACCATCGCTGCTTACAGGGCAGAGTGTATGCAGACAGCTCAGCTTTTGGGGAGTGGGGGAAGGGGACTTCCAGCCCTGGGTTCATGGATGGGGAACAGGGGAGATGCCCCAGCGAGAACAGGGTTCAGAGAGTGACAGATGGGCTCCTTTGCAATCAGTTTTTGCAATCAAACAGATTAATTTGCAATCAGATTTTGAGACTCCGGGGTGGGGGTGGGGAGGGGAAACAGCAAGGGTTTGCCCCTGTGGAATGCTTTGATTGAAAGAGCGAGTAAAGGCCAGTTGGGGTGGGGGTGAGGGTTCCTTGCTAGACCATAGCAGGATCATTCTCAGCAGCTGCAGCT